ATCTAGCATGTTGTATCCCAATGTGTATTCGGGGTTTCGTTACCGAAATTTACTTCGGGATTTCCGGGATTTTACTTAGTTATTTTGCTTCATCTAAAATATTACATCCCGACGTGTATTCGGTGTTTCGTTATCGAAACACACTTCGGGATTTTTGCGATTTTTCTTAGTTATTTTGCTTGATCTAGCAAGTCATTTTGCTTGATCCAACATATTATATCCCGACGTGTATTCGGTATTTTGTTACCGAAACACACTTCGGGATTTTCACGATTTTACTTATTTATTTTGCTTAATCTAGCAGATTATATTCCGACGTGTATTCGGTGTTTCGCTACCGAAACACAGTTCGGGATTTTCAGGATTTTACTTAGTTATTTTGCTTTATATACCCCGACGTGTATTCGGTGTTTCGTTAACGAAATACACCTCGGGATTTTCGGGATTTTACTTAGTCATTTTGCTTGATCAAGCATATTATATCCCGACGTATATTCGGTGTTTCGTTACCGAAATACACTTCGGGATTTTCAGGATTTCACTTAGTCATTTTGCTTGATTTAACATATTATATCCTGACGTGTATTCGGTGTTTCGTTACCGAAATACACTTCGGGATTTTCGGAATTTTACTTAGTCATTTTGCTTCATCTAGCATATTGTATCCCGACGTGTATTCGTTGTTTCGTTACCGAAATACACTTTTGAGTTTTCGATATATTACGTAATTATTTTCTTGATATTGCATATTCTATCCCCACGTGTATTCGGTGTTTCGTTACCGAAATACACCTCGGGATTTTCGACATTTTACTTAGTCATTTTGCTTGATCTAACATATTATATCCAGACGTGTATTCTCTGTTTCGTTACCGAAACACACTTCGGGATTTTTGGTATTTTACTTAGTCATTTTGCTTCATCTAGCATATTGTATCCCAACGTGTATTAAGTGTTTCGTTACCGAAACACACTTCGGGATTTTCGGGATTTTACGTAGTCATTTTGCTTGATCTAGCATATTATATCCCGACGTCTATTCGGTGTTTCGTTACCGAAATACAGTTCGGGATTTTCGAGATTTTACTTAGTTATTTTGCTTGATCTAACATATTGTATCCCGACGTGTATTCGAGATTTTGTTACCGAAATACACTTCGGGATTTTCGGGATTTTACTTAGTCAATTTGCTTGATCTAACATATTATATCCCGACGTGTATTCGGTGTTTTGTTATCGAAATAAACTTCGGGATTTACGAGATTTTACTTAGTAATTTTGCTTGACCTAGCATATTATATCCCTACGTGTGTTCGGTGTTTCGTTACCGAAATACACTTCGAAATTTTCGACATTTTCGGAATTTTACTTAGTCATTTTGCTTGATCTAACATATTATGTCCCGACGTGTATTCGGTGTTTCATTACTGAAGTACACTTCGGGATTTTACTTAGTCATTTTGCTTGATGTAACATATTGTATCCCGACGTGTATTCGGGATTTCGTTACCGAAATATACCTCGGGATTTTTGAGATTTTACTTAGTCATTTCGCTTGATCTTTTATATTATATCCCGACGTGTATTCGGAATCTCGTCATCGAAATACACTTCAGGATTTTCGAGATTTTACTTAGTCATTTTGCTTAATCTAACATATTATATCCCGACGTGTATTCAGTGTTTCGTTACTGAAATACACGTTGGGATTTTCGGGATCTTACTTAGTCATTTTTATTGATCGAGCATATTACATCCCGATGTGTATTCGTTGTTTCGTTACCGAATTAGACTTTGGGATTTTCGGATATGACTTAGACATTTTGCTTGATCTAACATACTTTATCCCGACGTGTATTCGTGGTTTCGTTACCGAAATATACTTCGGGATTTTGAGGATTCTACTTAGTCATGTTGCTTGATCTATCCTATTATATCCCGACGTGCATTCGGTGTTTCGTTACCGAAACACACGTCGGGATTTTCAGGATTTTCGAGATTTTACTTCGTCATTTTCCTTAATCTAGCATGTTATATCCCGACGTGTATTCAAGGTTTCGTTACCAAAATACACTTCGGGATTTCCTGGATTTTACTCAGTCATTTTGCTTGATCTAACATATTATATCCCGTCGTGTATTCGGTGTTTCGTTACCGAAACACACTTCGCGATTTTTGCGATTTTACTTGGTTACTTTGCTTGATCTAGCAAGTCATTTTGCTTGATCCAATATTTTATATCCCGACGTGTATTCGGTGTTTTGTTACCAAAACACACTTCGGGATTTTCGTGATTTACTTTGTTATTTTGCTTGATCTAGCATATTATATTCCGACGTGTATTCGGTGTTTCGTTACCGAAACACAATTCGGGATTTTCAGGATTTTGCTTAGTTATTTTGCTTTATATACCCCGACGTGTATTCGGTGTTTTGTTACCGAAATACACCTCGGGATTTTCGGGATTTTACTTAGTCATTTTGCTTGATCAAGCATATTATATCCCGTCGTATATTCGGTGTTTCGTTACCGAAATACACTTCGGGATTTTTGAGATTTCACTTAGTCATTTTGCTTGATCTAACATATTATATCCCAACGTGTATTCGGTGTTTCTTTACCGAAATACACTTCGGGATTTTCGGGATCTTACTTAGTTATTTTGCTTAATCTAGCATATTATATCCCGACGTGTATTCGGTGTTTCGTTACCGAAATACACTTCGGGATTTTCGGGATTTTACTTAGTCATTTTGCTTGATCTAGCATATTTTATCCCGACGTGTATTCGGTGTTTCGTTACCGAAATAAACTTTTGAGTTTTCAGTATTTTACGTAGTCATTTTGCTTGATCTTGCAGATTCTATCCCGACGTGTATTTGGTGTTTCGTTACCGAAATACACCTCGGGATTTTCGACATTTTACTTAGTCATTTTGCTTGATCTAACATATTTTATCCAGACGTGTATTCGGTGTTTCGTGACCGAAACACACTTCGGGATTTTCGGGATTTTACTTAGTCATTTTGCTTGATCTAATATATTATATCCCGACGTGTATTTAGTGTTTCGTTACCGAAACACACTTCGGGATTTTCGGGATTTTACGTAGTCATTTTGCTTGATCTAGCATATTATATCCCAACGTGTATTTGGTGTTTCATTACCGAAATACACTTCGTAGTTTCAGGATTTACCTAGTCTCGTTTCTATGTTATATCCCGAAGTGTTTTCGGTGTTTCGTTACCGAAATTCGCTTCGGGGTTTTCGGGTCTACTTAGTCTCATTTCTATGTTTTATCTTGAAATGTTTTCGGTGCCTGATTACTGAAATACACTTCGGGATTTTTGAAGTCTCGTTTCTATGTCATATTCCGAAGTGTTTAAGGTGTTTCGTTACCGAAATATACTTCAGGATTTTCGAGATTTACTTAGTCTCGTTTTTACGTTATATCCCGAAGTGTTTTCGGTGTTTCGTTACCGAAATACACTTCAGGATTTTCAGAATTTACTTAGTCTTCTTTCTACGTTATATCTTGAAGCGTTTTCGGTGTTTCGTTACTGAAATACACTTCGGGATTTTCGAAATTTACTTAGTCTCATTTCTACGTTATATCCCGAAGTGTTTTTCAGTGTTTCGTTACCGAAATACACTTCGGGATTTTAGGAGTTTACTTCGTCATTTTAGTTGATTTGGCATGTTACATCCCGACGTGTGTTCGGTGTTTCGTTACCGAAACAGACTTCCGGATTTTCGGGATTTAATTAGTCTCGATTCTATGTTATATCCCGAAGTGTGTTCAGTGTTTCGTTACCGAAATAGACTTCGGGATTTTCGGGATTTACTTAGTCTCGTTTCTATGTTATATATCCTGAAGTGTTTTCGGTGTTTCATTATCGAAATACACAACGAGAGTTTCAATTACTTAATCCTGTTTGTGCGTTATATTCCAAAGTGTATTGCGAGGGGTTGTGTGGACCAACTTGAGCGAGGGTGGGTGCGCATGAAAGAGTGAGAGAGTGTGAAAGAGAGAGAGAGACAGAGAGAGAGAGAGAGAAAGAGAGAGAGAGAGAGAGAGAGAGAGAGAGAGAGAGAGAGAGAGAGAGAGAGAGAGAGAGAGAGAGAGAGAGAGAGAGAGAGAGAGAGAGAGCGCACGAGTGCATTCGACTATTTAACTACTAATACTAAAAGCCCAAAAAAAAAAACTAGCAAAACAAACGAAACAGGGGTAGGGAAGGAAAACAAATAAAAAATCATTGTGAGAAACACAACTACAAATCTTTAAAAGACAAAGTAAAAAAGTTTTTTCTTTATACTACTTTTTTAATATCTTAGGATAGCTCGAAATTAGACCAACATCCAAAAGTTTATCTTTAAAATGGTCTTCGAAGGAAGGGGCCGCGGGTGTGCGTCCTATATATATATATGTATATATATATGTATATATATATATGTGTGTATATATATTTATACAAAGAGAGAGAGAGAGAGAGCAATGCGCATTCGAGTATTTACCTACTAATACTAAAATCCAAAAATAAAAAACTAGAAAA